ATTTGAAAAGCTAATGAGTATGCTTCTGGAGTATCTCCTAAAGTACGGCGCTAAAGTCAACGCCAGGAACGAAAATGATGAAACACCTTTGCACTTGTGCCAAACTTGGTGTGCAGTGCAGCTTTTGATTGATGCTGGTGCTAATGTCAACGATGTGGATTCATCTGAACGTACACCTTTACTCGCTGCTGCCGTCAGGTACAAACAAGGCTACCGGGAAAGATTTTTTAATGATTGCACAGATGATCCTGAAGTATTTTGGAAGAAAGCTATCGACAAAGGTCTTAATCCATGGGCATGTGACAAGGACGGTGAATCAGTGCTGAGCTTTTTGCTGAGTTCAGATAAAGGTTTCAAATTATCGGAGGCATTGGTTCAAGTGGCCTGCGAAAACAGCTATTGCAAGAGTTTAAAGGATGTAGTCACACTTTTGAATGCTATTTGCAAGGATAGGAGTTCTAATAACCTATGGAAAGAAAATTTTGTCGAAATGCTGTTGAAGGTTAACAACGATAAGCTTGATTTGAATGTAGCTCTGATACATTGCTGTAGGAATCTAGAAGAACACATTCGGAAAAACTCTGAGAGATCAGTAAGGAAGGAGAACTTTGCCAAATCTGTTTTCTGGAAAATTGCACAACGCCTCCATTTGTATGGAGCCGATTACAGTACATCTAATTCTGCTGGAGTATCATGCCTTGACATCGCAGAGTCTTGCCCAGACCTTAAATATCTAATTTCTCAACCCATAGACTTTATAGAAATACCGATAGCCATTCAATGGAGGCGGTTGACGGAAAAACATCGCGACAAACTGGACAAAACGGCTAGACGCCAAGAATGTGAAGTAATCAAAGACTATTGGTATCACCAGGAAGAAATCGCACTCGGCTCATTTGGAGTTGTTTATGCAGGAATCAATACAAATGACGGACGTGAAGTTGCCATCAAAAGAATCGATAGATCGCGGATGACGCGTCCTAAAGATAAACGAGAGATCGACAATCTCATTTCTTTGACAAATTGTCAACATGTTGTCCGTTATCTTTCTTTTTTTGAGGACAAGAATTTCGTCTATATAGTTCTGGAGCTTTTGGAAGGAAGTTTAGAAGATGCAGATTTTCTTCAAGATAAGTCATTCAACATGGGTGAAAGAATTAAACTTTGCAAGCAGGTTTTGTTAGGGGTAAAGTATTTACATGATGGAGGCATCTTGCATCGTGACCTCAAACCAAGCAATATTCTTTACGAAACCAAAGATTGCTTGAAAATAGCTGACTTTGGTCTTAGTCGTTGTATGTCCAATACAGCTACAACAGTTTATGGGACCAACGCCGGGACTCGATGTTGGATGTCGCCAGAAGTAATGGAAGGTCATAGTCCATCCARTTCTTCGGACATCTTCTCATGCGGACTTGTTTTGCACTATATTTTGACACTTCAAAAGCATCCATTTGCTCCAGCTGAAAGCGCACTTGAGAATCTCCGCGACATTCACCACACAGAAGCTAACATACTAAAAGACAACATGGAAGGGTGGGATCAATCGTTGCCACCTGAAGTGACTCACCTCCTGAAAGAGATGTTAGGATGCAATGATAAGAAGAGGCCTACTGCACCTCAGGCGTTAGCTCATCCGATGTTCTGGCCAGAAACGAAGAAGATGGATTTTTTCGTCGCTGTTGGAAATCAGCCGGAATTCACATGCCCGCGTTACAAACGACATTCCTTGCATGTAACTGCAGAGGTCGAGAAAGCACTAGAAGCACAATTCTCAACAATTGTTAAATATCCTTACGTTGCTTGGAACGACCCAGGGTTTGCTAAAATGACCGTAATTTACACGGAAATGGCCAAATACACAGGTCGAACGTATGATACCAAATCGGCGGTTGAGCTGGTGCGTTTTGTGAGAAACTCTGCCCAGCATGTATCTGATGCGTCTCGACCAGAGTATTTCAAGCAACTTGTGCTTGAGGATTTTGCATTCTTGGAAGAATTCCCAAACCTCCTGATTGAAGTCTTTAAAGCTGTAACCAGTCATGAATGGGACAAAGACCGAGAGGAAATTAAATCTGCCATTGCAAAGAAGAAGGTAACATTTGTGATATTCATTCCGTTATCTCCAGGTATTTACCCCTATGATATCCTATAAACATCCACAGTGACCACAAGTAAAGCATGGAAGCAAAGCATCAAGGAGCATAGATCTTTACTTTCAAGCTCACTGTACCTATAGTTCAATGTTGTGTTAGTGGTCACTAGACCTACTGTAATGAAGTTGGGATATCAATAATATTAGGGTCAATATGCGTTCATGAAATATGCCATACCGTAAATGATCTTATAAAATTCATTAATAATTCATAATAGCGCCGCCCAATGAGATTTCTGCTTTTAGGTCATATGATCAACTCTTTAAAATCCAATAAAGCACGACTGTCTAAAAGCACGGGGAGGGATTGAAAAGGTAGCAGGGAAAAGCTGGGGTTGATGAATGAATTAAAGAATTGTTATGTAAATTATTTACAATCACTAGTTGCTGTATGAAAAGATAGAACAACTAGTGGTTGTATCAATATTTACAATTACGACGGTTACAAATAATCTAACAAAGACCCATCAAACAGAATTTATTTTGTCAGCATGTAACTTAAAGCTGTAAATGGTTTCTATTTCATGTAAATATTGACATTGCAATTCGTATATATGGGATTTACAATAGTACTAGTGCTGTGACTATTAGAATTTGGAATATCTAAGTTTAAGGTAGCTAGCATTTCATCGGTAATTACGTCGTCATGAAAAAAGTTATATTCCCCATCATTCGTACTTTGTTCCTGGCTCAATGTGCTTGAACTAGTAGTAGTAGCTATAGGAGGTGGGGCGAGAGCATTACTAACGTGTTTCACCTGATCCTGGCTGGGTTTCTGATACCTGAACAACGAGTCTGATCTATGCCCGGTTCTTTCCCTTGCTTGTTTTTCCGGCACTTCATTCTGAAAAAGTCTAGAGGCACAAGTTATTCGCAGACAGTGGGCTGTTTTTCTTTCGATTCCAGCCTTTTTACACAACTTATCAGGCAGAATCTTGTTAAGGGTATTTACTCCTACCGGACTGTTTTCGTACCTAAATGAGCCATCTCTAGCTGGCCTGAAATAAAATGCTGAAGCATTTTGAGCACAATCTTTGATTTTGTCTAAATRCAGTTGAAACATATGTAATAAACATGGAGAATGTTGTTCCCCTAAACCATGGCACATGTGCTTAATATATCGAGCCTTTTTCTTCAAATCTGAAAGACCTCCATGAAAGGTTTTAGACACGCTTTCATCAAATATTATATAATTTTCTTTTAGACTGATATTAGATATTCTAAGTAGCCTTTGCTYATTTGCCCTTAAGCCGAACAGCTTTCCACAATAAAAATAAATAGTGTGCATAAGACACTCAGCTGATTCTCTACCTAACAGRCCTTTCTTCCAAAATATTTCTTCTTCTTTAACAGTGATTTCTTCTCTTTCCTCTCTCTTGGTTTTGAGGTCGATGCCACTCTTCCTAGAATCCCGCATCTCACCATCAATTACCTTTCGAAATAGCGCAAACCTAAAATTCGTAGCATTAAAATTGATTATTCAGTACAGATGTCAATCTAGTTTAAAACGATTCATACAAACCTTTGGTCACCTCTGGCGAATGGATCAAAACCAGTTTTATCTCCCAGAAATCGTTTAATACCACAGGCCAACAGATACAATGTATTGGCCRGATATCTTTCCCCTCTGCGGTTACAGACTTCTTGTATGAAGCGACTCAACCAGAAATTTAATGTTTCTGCACTCATATCTTGTAAAGGAGTGTCCAACTGTTGTACTTTCGACATGTCAAGTGGAATTGAGGTCGAAGTGGCCTGTTTTGGTGATTTATCAATTCTTGATAACTGCCATTCTTGAAAAAGTTTAACTGACCACTTAGTGTTATTTTGTGTGTTTTTTGGTACAGTGCTATCTAAAAGTTTTTCCTCTTCTTCTGCTGTTTTTGGTTGCCGAAATGGTCTTCTACCGCCTTCCATCTTGTAGTTCGTACCAGGTTTATGAGTCTGGTCTCATTGTGGACTGACTGTCCAACGCGTAAAAAGTGCATTTGAATAATTATGAAATGCTTTTGATACACGGTCATGGATTGGAAGATCAAGCTTCTTGAGTGTACTTTTAAGATCTGATATCTGATAATAAAATAAGTGAATAAATGAATGAAAGAACAGAATGATGAATTACAGGTGAATAAATGAACAAATGGGCAAATAAGGAAAGGGATTGATAGGTGGAAAGATTGATGAAGGAGTGAATAAACAAGAGATGTTGAGCAAAGAATGTACCAACAGATGAATGAATGAATAAATGGGATGGCTAAATGAATAAAAAGATGGATATATGGATTGGATAAGTCAGGGAGAAAGACTCAAAACACAAATTATACTTACCACCCCCAATGGCAACAATGCTACAATTCTCAACAATTGTTAAATATCCTTACGTTGCTTGGAACGACCCAGGGTTTGCTAAAATGACCGTAATTTACACGGAAATGGCCAAATACACAGGTCGAACGTATGATACCAGATCGGTGGTTGAGCTGGTGCGTTTTATGAGAAACGCCGTCCAGCACGTCTCTGATGCGTCTCGATCAGCTGATGTCCAGCAACTCGTGCTTCAGGACTTTGCATTCTTGGAAGAATTCCCCAACCTCGTAATTGAAGTCTTTAAAGCTGTAACTGATCATGGATGGGACCACAAAAAGGAAATTGAATCTGCAATTACAAAGTAGAAGGTAACATTCATTTATCACTATATACATTTAAGATATTCTATAAACAAGCATATTAACGGTAAACAATCATGGAAACAAGGCGTTAAGGAGCATAGGTGTTTTCTTTTAATATCAGTATGCCTTGACCTGAGTTCAGTGTTGTGTTYATGGTCACTAGACCTATGTAATAAAAGTCAGTATATGTTCTTGATGATTGACAATGCTATTACATTTCCAGAGTATTTTCATGCAAATGATTGTTGACATGATCATGATCATTTCTTACTGCAACTTGATTGATGAAWGCATATCCAAATATGCTTTTGTAAGAACTTAGAAAATTATTTTGAGCATGATGAGTATGGTAAAGGAATTGAAAGAARCAATGCATTCAGTATAAGTGATGTCTTGTCTTTATTCTTTTCAGAAGAGCTGTGATTGGCCTACCAAAGTGGATGGCACTCTTCACACCAACCTGTGATAGCTGCAGTAATAGAGTCCACATGGCCTGCTTCATCTTTAAAAAATTAGCTGTGTCTTTGCATCGAGCAAGATGGCCGTTGAGATTGCAATTATAGAAATCTTCTTTTACGCCTACAGGAAATTATTCTATTGTTCTATATCTATCATTGCAAGCTCAAAATGGCACAGGGAACTGTGAAGATTATTGTCAGAGCTGACATAACACTTGAGTTCCATTCAGATTCCACACACATTGTAGATATATATCATACACTACATGTAYATTATTGAACTATTATAAAGAAGTAACTTTAGCTATTTTCAATCACACATATGCATGTAATTCACTAAAAATAGTTTAGATATCATCTAAAGACAGAAATCCAAATTGAAAAATTAAAAAGATATATATTTTAATCTTAAAAGATTCCATTATAATTTTGTTGTAAATGACAATATTTATACAGTATAGTCACCTGTAGCTCAWAATCCAGCCTGTAGAAAAGTCAAGATAGTGATTGACATTGTAAATAAAACATTTAACCTAGTCAAGTGTATGTATCGTTAGTGTAAATGAAAAAAATTGGGCTACCTGTGTTGAACACAGCGGGAAAAGMTGTCTTATCTGATTTTGAACTAAAATAGATTTCTAAAAGAGTTAATATAATACAACTCAATTCAAAAACGTTGTCTGAGATTTAGGGATTTAGGAGCTAGGTAATTCATCAAAACATAGTTGATGTTAACATTAAACTATGATTAAAAGATGAAGCTGAAAGCCGAAAATTTACTTTTGTATTCTGATTAATTCCTGCGAGTAATAACTCTTTTTTTTGGACGGCGTTTTTGTAATAGGTKTGTATATGAAGTAGGAATCAATGTAATTGCCAAAAATCGATAACGGTGTGTGATCCTTGATAATCTTCAAATAGCAGCTTGGGTGTCCTGTGTAAGATTAAAAACGCGCGGAGTTCTGGGAACCAATACCGAAGCGCGGGAAAGATGGCGGAGAAATCATTGATGACATTGTAGGGGATTTCCTCGTGTAAACATTTCATTGTAAGCTTTTTGGATTACCATTRATTGTTCAGTTTGCTCATAGGCGAGCTTTGACCATCGAGTTAGTATGTTTTGAAGTCTGATGTCTGTATATTTTGMATCTCAGCAGTAATCGATCGATTCTAAGATGTCTTCCATCGAAAAGTTGAAGATTACGGGAATTCGCAGCTATTCTCATGCAGATTCTGCTATTATTGAGTTCTTTAAGCCATTGACWTTAATAGTAGGTGCAAATGGCGCTGGTAAAACGGTAAGAGCTAAATATAAGTTGAAAATAAACTAGACATGACAATGTGCTCAAAACAACATTAAGTTAAGTCTTAAGTTACACTCACTTTCAAAACGTTTTGTTAAGCTTGTCATGAACGTCAGAATGCTCAGAGTCCATAATATTGCCTAAAAAAAGCTTACAGGAATACATAAAATTAATCGATTTTAAGATCAATATAAAGAATGTTGATTTAATTAATTTCAGTCAATTATYGAGTGCCTCAAGTATGTCACTACTGGTGATATGCCACCGGGAAGTAAGAACTCTTACTTTGTACACGACCCTAAGGTATGATTAAAGGAATGGSATTGAATTGTTTAACCATAGCATTAACAGAAAGGCAAATTATATGTGGAGGAGATGGCAAGGGAAGTTTTAGGGCCAAAAATTGTAAAAGTAGGGAGGGTGGTGTCTGCATTCTCTGCATAAATATTATTGATATTTCTTAACTTTATTAGGTTGCAAATGAACAAGAAGTCAAAGGACAAGTTAAGTTGATGTTTACAGACACAACTCAGAAAACAGTTGTAGTTACAAGRACATTGGTATCACAGCAAAAGGTCATTCATGTGATCACAATAATACACCACCTTGATACCTAGTTCCTCATTAACTTTTCCTACATCTAACAGGGTAAAAAAGTTGAGACAAGAAGTTTAGAAAGTGTAATCAAGAGAGATATCCAAGGAGAAGTATGAACTAAATCTATTAAATCTTTTAATTTATGGAGAATAAATAATTTCTATTTAATTTATGGAGAATAAATAACAATTTCTATTCATTTTGTCTAGAGGAGAAGTCTAAGTTCAAGGTGTGCTGAAGTTAACCATGAAGTGAGTGAACACTGATCACCTGATTAATCAACTACCAATAATTGATTGATTGATTGACTGAAGTCACTGAATGATTGTCAGGTCATGAATGATTGACAGATGGATGGAGAACTGAAGGATTGAAATATTATCTGAATGACAGATTGAATCATTATTGGCAATGCWGATTGATTGATTGACTGATTGATTGGCAGACCATATGATTGACTGACTGACTGGCTGAATGATTCATTGATTGATTCATTTATTGTTTGATTGATTGATTGATTGGTTGATTGATTGACAGGTACAACAATGCTTATCATTGATTCTCATTAACACCATGTTATTCAACAGATGATTACACATCTTGGAGTTTCTAAAGCTGTTCTTGAGAATGTGATTTTTTGTCATCAAGAGGAATCTAATTGGTATGTTGCTCAACACTTCAAATACCTGTTTGTTATATATACTTGCTTTGGTTTTCTAASTAATCAGCCTGTGTTTCTTCTCTCTAGGCCTCTCAGCGAAGGAAAGGCTTTGAAACAGAAGTTTGATGAGATATTTGCTGCCACAAGGTATGTTTGTTTGCTTTGAAAGTGAAGTCTTGTCTTGCAGCCATTTACAATGTAATCTTTGATTAATCTGGTCACCAACTCAAAACATCATTTTATTTGTGTCAGTTTTTTGCTCCTGCAAACTCAATCCACTCTATAAGTTCATATCATTTCCTGTTTGTGAACATCTTCATCCCATCTACTCATTATCAAATCTATTTTTCACTGTTTTCTCAAATAATAGATACATCAAAGCTTTGGAAGCCATACGCAAGCTCAGACTAGAACAGGTCAAAACTATGAATATACATCATAACTCATGTCACAGATATTTCTATACACAAKGGCTACAAGTACAATGACTCACTTCATGTGACTTACATTACAGAGCAAAACAGTTGGATTGTGTGAGGCAGAACTCAAGTACTTGAAGGAAAACAAGGACAAAGCACAGGAGGTTAGATATATGTAATGTATAAATGACATGTAAGACTTGGTGATTGATATAATTTTACTGTTGCTAATGAAGATTGCTGAAGAACTAGAAAAACGAGAGGGAAAAGTAGAAGCAACMAAGGATTCCATCTTGAAAATAACAAGTGCYTTACAACCTGTTGAAGTGAGTAAGAAGTGCTTTCRTTCATTCATTTCCCATTTATCAATTTTCCCATTCACTTATCTACTCCTTATCAATTGAATATTTTTCCATTTCCACTAATTGTTATCAATATTAGGCTTGTAATATTCACTATTTCCCTGGTAATCTGAGGTCATTATCAACATATAGAGTAGGTCATCACTGCTCTTATTGCCTAATTGACTGATATTTGATTGTTTAAGTGTGGTACCAATACAAATTGGAGATGCTTATAAGAACTAATTAACAATTATATAATGTGATGCACTTGAGATACTTCACTGTTGTTGTCTGTTGTTGCAGACGCGTATGGTTGAAATAGACTCTGTCATTCAAGAGGTCAATGAGTGTACAAAAGAGATAGGTATATAAAGCTGTATTTATTTCTGTCATGATAAACTAGTTAAGTAGAGGTGATGCTATACTAAAATAACTTGTCTTTAAATGCAGAACTGTTGATGTCTAAAAAGGACCAGTTTTTCAGCATAGGACGAGAACTTGAGGATAAGATCAATGATGTGTTTACTGGTAACACTTTTTGAGTCTTTGACAATATTTTATGTTCATTTGATTGACTACCTGGTATATTGGTTCAAGATTTTGTTGATTGATGGCCTAATTGATTGATTGATTGTCTGATTGATTGATTGATTAGGTAATTGATTGGTAAATCTATAATGATTGACAGGTTCATCAGAAGAGCTGCAGAGGATCTACAATGAATTCCAGAATAAGATTGGAGAAAAGCACAGTCTTTTACATCAGGTGAAGAGAAAACTGAATTACTTGTGTGATCAGCTGCTACAATCAGCCATCAATAATACATCATTATTTCTTTTCATTCAGAAATCCTGGCATGGGATTTATCAAATAATTATAGTCATTATTAATTCATGCTACCTATCAGAATGAACAAGAACACCAGCGTCTAGTTTCAAAGCAACAAGAACTTACTAAGGAAAAAAGTAATATCTTACTTGAACATGGCAAGCTGGAGCAGCAAGCACAGGTATTCGTTTACAAATGTTTTTTTTTTACTTCAAACTGTTAGTCTTGTGATGGACTTGGAATAAAGAGGATTTTCACATAATCTTCAAGTAGTGCATAGATCCATGTTTTCCCAGCAAGATTTTTAGTATCCTTCAGGTACTTGAAGGCAACTAGCCAAAAAACCATTCAATCTTATGTTTTATTATTATTATTATTATTTTCAGAGGCACAAGAGAAATGTAGAGGACCGTGATGTCATGGTGGTCACTTTAGCTGGCCATTACAAGGTTCCCAGTAAGATTCCTTTAGTTTTCCTAGTTTAGTTTTCATAGTTTTCATATATTAGATCTATTAACTAGTCTTGTTTGTAACTATTCCTGTAGGGTATGACAGTGCTCCATTGACTGATACAAAAGTAGATGAATTTGTAGAAGAACTAAGAAGAAAATACACCATCATTATTGAAGACACCAAACAACAAAAAGTATTTATTTTCCACCATTCAGATAAATTGTATTTAATTTAGATATTGTAGCTTTTTTTGTTGTTGTTGTTGTTTTTTTTTTAATCAGCAAAAGTTCAAGGAACAAATAGATGCAGCTCAGAAGAAAGTTGACGATATCAGGAGAACACAAGCTGAGTATGGAGAAACAATAAGACTGAAGAGAAATCTGATGGTACGAGCAATTGAGCAATTGGATTAATTGGACAAAGAAAAGAATGAATGAATTAACAAATGAATTAACAAAGTACTATTGTATTGCAGAGAGATAATCAGTCAGAGCTCAAGTCRATTGGTCAAGAACTTAGTAATGTAGATGCTTCAGCAAACAGACTTAAGTCCCTTGAAACAGAGCTTCAAAGAGCAGTAAGTAATGATGACAAATAATAATAATGATAGTGCTATTGATGTGATATTCAATAATCAGGAAAAAGACTTGAAAGAAGCCAAGGAACAAGGCAATGTGGATGACATGAATGCAGAAATAGAAAAACTACAGAATGATAAACGTCAAGTTGACAGTGAACTCAGTAGAYTAAGGGAAGAGCARCAAACTATGCACTTACAGTCAACCACACAAGCAAAACTAGACATGTTRRTCAAGGAAAAGACAGAAAAACAAGAYAAAATACAAAAATTGTGAGTTRMACACTASAAGYTTACTCTGTRTTTTTTWKATTTYAAGTTTATAATGTCTTAGCTGGTCAGAATGATTCAAAAAGACTGTAATAATTCATACTGGTTGACATTTCTAGAATGGACAAGCATGAAGAAGACATTAAAACATATCTTGGTGGCACTCGTACCAGTGAAAGTCTAACAGGAAAACTAAAGCAGTACATCAAATCAAAAGGAAAAGATCTSCAAGAAACAAGAAATAAAATTCAAAGACTGAAACAGGCACAGTCTGCAAAGAATGCCAACAAGAAAAACATTGAGTAAGTCATCTTCTGTTCCTTGCCTTTTTATTTTTATTGGCAAGAATTATTACTAAGATATAATGTCATCGATTTAAATGAAATGCTTGTGACTTGTACAGGGATTTACTAGAAAGAAAACAAGAACAAGCCAACACATACAAGCAGCAGTTGAAGGAGGCTTGTGGTGACAATGACTACAATACACTCAAAGAAASTGTCAAGACMCAAATAGATGACTATAGAGAGTATGTCTTGCTGTTTGAATGAAAAGATGAAGGGATGGGTGTGAAAATGGATGGATTCAAATAATAATTTTATTATTTTATACTTTAATTTCTAGTGACAAGAGTTTGTATGCATCTATTGAAAGTATCTATAAGAAGTACATTGATAAACTACAGGATGACTCAGTCAAAAAGGAAGGGTGTCCACTTTGTCATCGTTGTTTTGATTCAAACAAAGAAATTAAGGCTCTGGTCTCAGAGGTAATTGAGAAATAAATCAGACAGCTTCCAATGACAATGAACTACTAATAATCTAATATGTCATTTGCAGCTAAGTAAAAAAATCACTAGTCTCCCTCAAAAGAGAGCAGACAATGAAAGCCGTTTGGAAAGAGAAGAGATGCGYTACCAGAAGATCTTGAACCTTGGACCAGTCAAAGACAATGTGAGCAMTGTGAAAATAGCTGAGATTTACTTTTATGTCTTGCTGTATTTTRATATTTTACAAATAACTTTCCTGACATGAATAATGTTACAGCTTGAGAAGCTAGAGTCCACAGAGATACAAGAAACTAAGAGCAGACTTGCTGAAATCTCATCTGAYATTGAACAAACAGACATGAACATCACAGAGGTTAGTTTTTTACTTATAGAACTTGCAAAGTCATGGAGTAGCAACCAGTATGTGACAGTATCTTACTCTGATTATGTGTAAAATACGTTTTTGTTCCTGATGTCTCAATGACTGTACTTTGTTTTTGCAGCTTGAAGATGTSTTAAGTTTGACAGAAAGTGAAGAAATAACAGTGAGGCAGATGGAGCCTGACTTACGAGAAGCTGAAAGTTTGAAACACGGACTWTTAGACCTAGATAGAAATATATCTCTGTATCAGTCCAAATTACATGGAATAGGTATTCATACGGTCCTTTATGGTTATTATTTAGATATTATTAATGACCATGATAATGTTATAGCAGACTATGAGGATCATATAGTAAAAATAATTGAGATAATGATKATGAYGATGWTGACAATGACAATAACAGTGATGCTATAAAACATAAACACTGCTCAACTATGTGATTTGTATTTATCACAGCTCCAGGACGTACAATGCAGGCTGTAACCAATGAAATCAATGACAGACAAGATCGCTCGTAAGTTCAAACACCAGTCAAGGCAGTTATATACTTGCCTTGTGGTTCAATTCAATTGAATACAATGATAAGACTATTTGATATGTGACAGGGAAACACTTGACCGCCATATTGATCGGCGTCGGAGAGCACTTACACAATTACAGAGAACCATATCGACACAGGAATCCCACTTGAATGAATTGAAATCACAAAAGGTGAGTATAACTTCATACGTTTAACAAAAGACCTGTGAGTGTATATTCAATARCACACAAGTCAACWTRCAATCTAATTTGCATGCATTGTATAGTTGGAGTTAACACAGCAGTTACAGAAAAGAACTAATTTAGAAGGACAGAAAGCTGAATTGAGCGCAAGAAATGATGCTTTGGAGCGAGAAATTAAGGTCAGAAAAAAAATTATTTTAACTTATTCTTATTACCAAAAGAGTTTTTGTTATGAGTTCTGTTTCATTTGACAGGAAGCTGAGTCTCAAGCCAGACCTATCCAGGTATAACTTAGTACAGGATATGTTGTTATAATTAAGCTGACAAGCTATGGTTATCAGAGTGTACTGTGTATTTGCTGTCCTTAATCAATAATCTCTTGAATTGTGTTAGGAAATGCTTAACCAAGAAGAAAACAACAAGCAAGAGATTGTCTCTGCTAAGGAGGCCATGGAAGATGAAAATAGAAAAATGGTAATTGATTGACAGTATTGATAATATTAGTATCRTAAATCTGAGTATAACATTAACTAAAATGGTTGACTGTTGAACTAATAGATAGCATTGACACCCATGATGAATTGTCCTCATTTCCATTATATTTGCTTGTTGTCAGTTAACCGAAATAAGAACCAATGGAGACAAACTGAGAGAAAAGATCAGTGAAATAAAGAGGTGAGACAAATCTATTGATAATACATCAGGCTTTTAACAAACTATCYCTGAGTTATTGAACTGTGAATGGAATGAAACTATGATAAGGAGTGGTGGTTGTACCAGTAGCCAGTAAAGCTAGAGTAAGTTTCCTTTATGATATAAATGACTGTGTTGTAATATTGTGAATGACAGGTACATTARTGAAGGCAATGAATCAGCCTTACAGGACAACGAAGAAAGACTAACTAATCTAGAGAATAGAGAAGTACAACTTTACCAGAGAAAAGAGTCTGTGACACAAAAAATTGACACACTCAAAGARGACATYGCAAAACAAGAGGTATTTGATTTATSGATTTTACAGTTCTCTGCACCATCTTCAAAGGATGCCTTGTCTTTGTATTGAGATGATGATTGAGYTTGAAGGGTTYGGGCTAGGTTTGAAGGAAGATAGTTATCATTGCAAGCYCAACTGTCATCTCACTTTGCAATCAATGTGCCAWGACACAGCTRMCCTTCAAGATGACAMTGTAGATAATCTTAAAGTAGAGTATTGTGCAAACTTGATTAGAATTTGATTATTTCAGATCAAAGCACGTGACCTTGAAGATAACATCAATTTAAAGAGAACCCARCAAGACATTAAGGAYATGGAAGGAAAGATTCACTCGGCTGAAGCTCATTTAAGACAATATGGAGACCAGCGAAGTCTAAACAGGTATAAGGCCAGCATGTATTGTTCAAAACAAAAACTAAACACATTTATAAGTATGACCAAAGACATGGAATGCCATGGTGGTATTTTTGAAAACAGAGTATTGAAGAAGCTGTTCTTATAGATCTAGCATAATACCTTCCKTGTTCCTGCATCATTGCCTGTATTACCTCAACAATGTCATCATAATTTGTATTTCATCACAATTCAGGGCTTTTTGTCACTGGAAATAATTTCCTTTTATTTTAGTGAAAGATTGACACTCCAACGTCAGTCCCATGACATGCGCAAAGAGGTACATAAATGGTTCATTTTTTGTTTGTTTGACAGTTTAGATGCAATCCTGRCATTTGATTGGTTAATAGATACCAGGATCGAGAGCTGATTATTTAAATWATTTTGTTCCTTAGAAAGCCCAACTAGAAGGAAGGCAAAAGGGTTATGAAGATGAAATAAAAAGATTTCAATCTGAACTTCGTAGCAATCAGTAYAGGAATGCAGAAGACAAACACAGAGAGAAAGTAATTGAGATGAAGGTAAAAACCTGAAGAATAGTTTTTAGTAAAATCAATGTGGACAAAATTCTAATAGTGATTGTACTATTGTYGTATTCAGACTACCCAAATGGCAAGTGTTGACCTGGACAAGTACTACAAAGCATTAGACAGGTCAGTCTCTACCTGGACTCACTTTGTACTGGCTTTCCTGTGTAAAAACTTTATTTTTTTGAATTCAGGGCCATTATGAAGTATCATGGTCTCAAGATGGCTGAGATCAACAAGATTATTAAAGAGTACTGGATCAACACCTACAAGGGAAATGGTAAAGTAGTAGATACTCTATCAAAACCTTAACTTAAGTTCTTACATTTTGTGTGTGAATTTCCACTGTGTTTAGATATTGATACTATTGAGATAAGATCTGATGAAGAGGAGGGTAGTGGAGCAAGTAAAGCTAGAAGAACCTACAATTACAGGGTACCTTATACACTATCAAACCATTGTATAGTACAAAAAAATACAGCTTATAAACTGTGAAAAACAGCAACAGTTAAAATTCTCTCTTCAAATCACAGTGACATCAAAATGTAACAATGTATTCTCTGTTCAATTTTGTCGTAGGTCGTCATGATTAAAGGAGATACTGCTTTAGACATGAGAGGAAGATGCAGTGCTGGTCAAAAGGTATATTGATTGACAGATTGATCAATTTGATTGACAGATTGATTAAATGACTGATTGAGTCAATGATTGATTGATTTAGTCATTGATTGATTGACAGATTGATTGGATGATTGATTGAGTCACTGATTGATTGACAGATTGATTGATTGATTGATTGAGTCATTGATTAATTGACAGATTGATCAATTTGATTAACAGATTGATTGAGTCATTGATTGATTGACTGATTGATTGATTGATTGACAGGTTCTTGCATCACTAATCATAAGATTGGCTTTGGCTGAAACCTTTTGTTTGAACTGCGGTATCTTTACATTGGACGAACCTACGACYAATTTAGACGAGGATAACATCACAAGTCTTGCTGACCAATTAGCGAGGTATTAAACACGCGTCTTTATCCAAATATCCATTACCTGCGATTCCTTCTTTTCTTGCTCTTTTCTCCTTCCTTCCCTCTTTACTTCCTTCATTTCCTCCGTCCTTCCTTTTCACTTTCTTCAATCCCCCATCTCTTATATCCGTCTTGTGACCCAAGCATATAGGATGCGACATGATAAGTTCGTAGAGTTTACTGTCTACTTGCTCTCCTAGTGTGATACGCACAAGGCATGCGCAAAAGAACTTTCAGCTTATTGTCATCACACACGACGAGGGTTTCGTTGATATTCTTGGTCGTGCTGACTTTGTCGAYCATTACTACAGAATATATAAAGATAACGAGTGAGTACAATAAATGTTTTGATGTTCAACGATGAGCATTGAGAAAATTCTTCTCTCACACGTCCATTCATCCACCCATTCGTTTTATTCATCATTCTTTCTTTTTCCATCCAATCATTAATCCAGTCATACATTTATTCTTTCTTTTATTCTTTGTATTTTAGAGGAAATTCAAGGATTGCAAAAAATARCGTCGCATCGTTAAACCACCGAGAAGAATCCTACCTGTCTTGACTATTCCCGTCAGGCTAAGGAGATGTTTTCAATTGATATCTTTCCAACTGTGATGATTCATGAAATTGTATTTTAGGAGTAGTTAGGCCTGAACCTGATTTAGGTGAAATGATTTGTTAAAAACAGATATATATTACATGTTGTTGCAAAAAATACTTACAAAAATACTTCATGAAATCCACTTTTTAGAATTTCAAACTAGGGCAGGGACGTTGGAGACGGGGGGGCAGGGGTGCTAAAACTTAAGAAATCAACGTAAAGTATACTCCTATTGAATCGTTTAACGTTTTTGTTTTGTTTTTGTCTTAATGATAAAATACTTAGATAGCTAAAAAAAACGCTCCGACGTCCCTGAACGGTTTGAGCAAATGTACTACGAAGATATACGTAGCAATACGCGTGATTTCCATAAAACTGATGCACGTGATTTTGAATTCAGTGATCTCTATTACAGGATCACCCCTCCCAAACCCCACCCCCCAGTAAACRAGACCCTGGATTGGTCCAATCTCAACTGTTGTCGTTCCATTAACTGAAGTCGGACAGAAAAACTAAATGAGTTTTATTCGGCGTAGTGTAAATTTTAGAAGTAAACTGATGAACTCTAACGGCTTTGTACATCAGCGAACCTATATCGAGCGACTGTCATTACCACCATAGTACAAACGATGACCGCACCTATGTAAGGACTGCCTATTGCCTGAAGCCCTCGCGTTGGCATAATTTTAGTTCTCTGCGTATTTATAATGATGCGTTTTCGTTACGCGTATATTTGTCATGGGTAAATATTAAGTAGTCACTAGATGTCTACTAACTAGTGAGGGGTTTCTATCCGGTTAAATATGAGAACTCAAACAAATAAAAACCAATGCGAAGTGTTTGTAAAACCAAAGGACTTGTTTGATTTGTCTTACAAGACATCCTCATCGAATAGCTCCTTCAATCAAATAGGTCTTATAATTCGTCTTAGTRTCGTTTTCYATRGAACACTAGGGTATGTCATGGCAACGAAAACGCACGAACTAGACATTCTTTAATGAGATCAATGCTTCTATTAACTTTATTGGAACAATAGATCGTTCATTGTATCACTGATTCAATCAATTAGATTGACATTAATTACTCTGTACATGACACTTGTCAACCATCATAAGAACTTTATTAACTTACGCAACGCTAAGAAGGATCCGAGATGAACGCGAAATAATATTGAATAGCTAATCTKGTTATCACATCCTATCATTTCAAGAAATTCTGATTCACAGTTTTTGATGAAATCATAATCAGTTTGAACCGTGCAAGACTATTTTTGATTGCCATCATAGTGCGAATATGATTCCAAATCAGTACATACCTGATATTATTTTTGTTCAGGCCAAAGAATGGGAAAGTTTATCTAGGTAAATATCAGTTACACTTGAACATGAGATTCGCCGTGGTATTTGACACTTTTACCTATACGTAAAACGTAATTTAGTTTCCTAGAACGATTCTCATTAATCGTTGTTAGGAATTCCTCATGCTAACGATTATTTGTTGGGTGAAGTATGGACTGACAACTTAGTACCTCTTTCCCGACCAGCGCAAACTACATTGAAAAACAAAGAGCAATATTTGCGTTCCCTTAAATGATATATTGTCGTGTTAATGTCGTTATTGACATTGAAGGCGGAACTCTTTTTTACCTCCACACACCTGTACAGGTGAATGTAACTTAAATATAAAGTAACTCGTCTTGGTCCGTTAGTCTGAACCCTTCCATCGACCTGAACTGTTTCCTAGCCAAGACTACAGGTAAATACATGTATAACATTGCCCCCTTACTTCAGCACGTAATGCAATGTGTGTTTATATTTGTGAACAGTTTGTGGATCAACAAAAACCATAGAAAAACGATCCCAGAAATGACTTCATGTAGAAAGAAAATCACAATCATACAAATGTACATCACTGTAAATRATCTGATCAATGTTTTGTCACTRATATTGCTGCGATGTTCATTCTTATTTAGCGRTTTAGCAGTGTCGAATCCGTTTCAAAACAAAATMTTTTTTTGTTAGGTGTACATTTCCAGTCATTACCATGTTCTGTAAGACTGGTTTGGTAATGGCTGCTGTGCTTGCAATTGCAATTACAAGTAAGTAAAATAAAATTAAAACTATTGTAAGTTATTATTTGAAATTGAATATCGTCATAAATCTATTTTTTTTAGTTCAACAAATTATAATCCATGTCAACTTTTCATCTTATCTGTACCATATTGATGCCTTAGCCCTATTTAGATTCAAGTGAAATTCTTGTCTTTTTCAGACACTTATGCCAAACACATTGAAATCCAAAGCAAAGAAGCCAAATCCTTCCTTCACAGTGAAGATCTTTCACGACAAAAGCGTTTGTTTGGTAGTTTTACTGAGACAGCTAAGGGGATTGCCTCCCCCAGTGAATATTATGGCAGACAAAAAATAAAGAAACAATTGGACTGAACAACTGTATATCACACTTAACATMTCTTGAAAATGTTTCATTATACAAAATCTGAATAAAGACTGACCATTGCAACAAATCAAAAATCAAAATTCTATTTACTGTATTTTAACATATCTGTAAAATATTTMTATTATGAATTGAATTATATATAGACCTAATCGGCTAACGGCRAAGCTATGTACGTTACCACCCAATTCAAATCCTGTGGGAAAAAGAACTTTTGTTTCTAAGAATTCAACTGTGAAATGAAAATACAACGAACAATGAAACTTACTCCTGGGTGGTTTGAATTGGGTTGAAGCCAATTAGGTCTATTACATGGCTGTTCAGAGATACAGATTTGATCTTCAAGTGTTGAAAAGATCTCTATAGTGAATATAGCAAACAAGAGAAAGTTGATACCTTTAAGCAACCCTGTAACATTTTGATTATAGTGGAAGTAMTTTATGTTTAAAAAGTGACTTATATTTACCTCCAAATATAGTGTTTGTAAGTGAAAAATATCATTATTTCATGGACACTTTGGTGTATTTATATTACATGATCACTATCCTTAGTACTCCAAAACATAGGTCTGATTCTATCTCACTATTTACTCTCAAGTTAACATGAAATTTGCAAAAACAACTTTAACATGATTCTGAAAATTATCATTGTTTGAGAGTTCAGAGCAAGAGATAATTGGAGTAAGGTTAGATATGTATACATAGTTTAATGTTTAGATATTAAGGCATTGTAATGTAATAGCTTTCCTGAAGACCCCTTGCAACTCCACCTGGATCACATAACATCACTGTATTGATGTCAAGAGAAGATTGTCAGTTCTCTGGTTACTATTTCAATAGCTAAAGCCTTTTTTTCATATTAAAATCATCCAATAATTTGAAACGAATACCAAAGTAGACCACAGGGTAGCCGTCTTATCTATGATGAAYTGAATTTCTATGTTACTGACAGCATTTGAACTCATGTCTTTTTCTTGTTCTTTAATACAATGGGAACTAAAACAAAYAATAACATTAAATTGCTGAATTATTGGTTGATCAGTTGCTTGATTGGCTGGTATATAAATTGGTATATAAATTGGTATTGGCTGGTATATAATTTTTTTTTTTAGGTGGATGATTTGTTGGTTGGTTGTTTGTTTGTTCAGTTAGTAGTTATTTCATTTTTTTGGTGTTTTGGTCTGGTTGTTTAGATAGTTTATATTAGTTTTTAAAACATTTTCTTACCAATAATGATGACCAGAATGATTATGACCACAAATATAAACACCAGCTTTAACTRTAACATAAAATTCAAATTCATTTAGCACCTTCACTCTATCTGAACCTCAAGAAATCCATTTTGCCTGTTACTTACCCGACAGTTCTGCCACCAGAGTTTCCGTTGCAGTTTTCTTGATCCAGAGCGAAACTGAAATGCACTCATCTCTAAATTTTCTTAAAGATGAAGAAGAAAATTTGTCAATAGAAATACTAAATCATTGGAAAACTTAAATTGTACTTACCTGACTTCTCATGCAGGTCGTCAATCTTTGCCCCTCTGTCTAATACTTTAGAGATGTTGTTCTGCATAATATTCACCACATTTTTGACTTCGCTCTTTACTCTAGCTATATTGTCATTACCTTTTGCTTCATGAGACTGAGAATTTGGACCAGAAAATCTAAGATAGGAAAACAATAAAATAAGAATATACCTTGTCACTTTATGAATATCATTAAACTTAATTTATTTGTATTTTATGCTGTTTTCTTACATGTTTGAGCCTTCTTCATCAGAATCCAAGTTCAGAAGATTAGCCTTAAAAAAATAGAAAAGCAATATATTGTTAATCTAGTTTTCCAGGGGGGAGGGGTGCAATACGTGCAGGGAAAAACGCAGGAAAAACAAGCCCACAACSTGCAGAAATAAGCATCAAAATRCACACAAACAAWKATAAAAGCTTACCCTTTCAGAATATCTTGATTCTGCTCTGTCTTCTGCCGTTGTACGACTAAATTTAGGAGGCATKTTGTCAAGAAAGTTCAGTTATTTCTTTAAAATGTCAAGAAAATATTCCAGTAGACGGATGATCGATAGACCGGCTTTTTGTGTACTTTGAACGCGATCTACACGACARATATACTACTTTTCCACTAAATTTACATTATAACAGTGTAAAATACGTTTCAATTAGAAAATATATGATGTTTTTCTCAATTTTTCTGCAAATTTCACATTTCAATGGATCGGCAGGTAGAAATCAACATTGGCTGAGMAGCCTGGCAAATTTTAATTTGTCAAGTAGGGAGGAGAGGGTCAAAATCTTATACACAGGCAACCCGATACACATCAGGAAAAGCACGAAAGAAAAGAACACAAAAAACTGAAAAAGTATAATAAATTCAAAACATTCCCAAAAATCGTTTATTCGTTTTTTGTTTAACTCTTATTTACATTTCTATTGCAGTAATATTCTTGGAATCCATGGCAAATTTTATTTCACTCTATGTACACGTGCTTGTAAAATATCTTCTGSTTTKGTGAAGGATGGCACAACTTTTCTCAAGAATATAAACCATGATAAAAGTGAGTGGCCARTGATGAGCTGTGGGTATATAACTCCAATCACACTATCAAAGAAATCTTCCTTTAGATCCAGCTCCTTGTCCAACTGCAACCTGGGTTCTGATTGGTGTTTGGTGGTCTGCTTTCGTAAAGGAATGAGCTGATGATGAGCCACTACGTCGTGATAACAGCTGATCAGCAAAGAACATTGCCTGCAAAACATTAAAAATAAACATGTGCTTTTAACTGATGAAAAGAGAAATCAAGTACTAAAGATCTTTTGAAATTGTGTTTGTGATCWGTATATATCCAACAATGACTTCTAGAAAGAGCAAGATAATAAAACTCTACTATGCATCCGATCATGCTCAGTGTTTTTTACACACAAAATCATCAAGCATTAATGCCTATGTTCTCGTATACATTGCTTATAGTACAGCATTGCCTATCTATCAAATACCTTTTGTGCACTGACTGTCTGTGTTGCAATATTTCTAGTTCTTTTTATTGGGTCCAGAGTAGGCGATGGAGAGCCACGATGTCCAAGTTTTGGTTTAGCTCTGGGTACTATTCCTAAATCCCCTAGCTTGTAATGAGGTAATGGTCTACCAATAGCAGCTATTGATGGTTCTACCAATGGAGTGCCTTTCCTGTAACATGACATTAGCAATATTATACATCATAACCTACTAACAATAACTATTGTAGCTCAAAAAATATATCAATTTCTTGAGCAGCAATGGAGTGTCCACTTTCTATTGTACCTTTTCGTCTTGTGAATATGCACTCCAAGATCTGGTTCAGAGGTGGAATAAGCTCGTTTCTGCATAAAGTCCTTAGTACTTGGCCCTACACCATATTGTGCAGCTTGGTTTARGATATCTAGAAGTGTCTGTACCAGGTTATCTCGTTGTGATATCATATCTGCTTTGCTATAGGGACTGCTATCATCTAGAGGCTGAGGATACAATCCCTTGTCAGTACTTACTATAGTTCAATAGCATACATATATACGGGCTGCTCACACTGGCTAAAGAAAATTTGATAGCTTWGAGAAAGAACTGSTAGCAATACTTACCAGAAGTGAACTTTTGAGTGCATCTGCTGCAGTAGACAATATTCCCACAAGATTGTCCTTAGTCTGCATGACAAGATCACGATCCTTGCGTACCTTGGCCAACTCTGCTTCATTGGATTCACTTTTATTGTATTGAGTCTAAATTATTTAAGATAGAATTAAAATTTTGTAAAATAGTGTTTGGAACTAATATTTGATGCTGCTGCGATAAACTGTAAGTGCTACAATGTGATAGTTTCTATACTTAGAGTTTAGCACTGATTCAATGCTGCAAATACAATGTACAGTGTTATAGCCTACCTTGAGTTCATCTGTAACACTAGCTACTTGAGACCGTAGTAATGACACTTCACTCTCCATTTGTTTGTTTTGTAATTCATATTCTTCATATTCAGCTAATAATTCTTCCTGTTGCTTAGATTTCTCAGCCAACATGCGAATAATCTAGAAATTRAAGATATTGTCAATATATTGTCACCTGTGGTCTCCTTGCAGCTKTGTTTAGTTTCAGTCAGACATTCACCAAACCAAACACAACTGGGAGTTGACTAATATAGCTATGATCAGTCTCTTCTTTGTAGTTGTACAATTCAATTCAAATACAAATCAAAGTTTCACACATTATGCTTGCATTTMATTTCAGTGATTTGAACAACTATACCTTCTGGTTGCTGCTGTTTTTCCTAGCCARTTCTTTTTCGTTATGTTCTAACATATCAATGTGAAGTTTYTGCTTCTTTTCTTTCTCTCGCAGCTCATCATTCTCTTGAATAAGTTCCATGGTTTTGTCAGACATTTTGGTAAGTTGTGCATTGATGGATACATTTTCTCTTATTGTCCTTTTGGTTGTTTCTGCCATTTGCTTATTGGAAACCTTGCGGAATTCTGCAGCGACTTGATTCAATCGCAATACCATTTCCTTCTTAAGCCTGCCAAAAAAAACAGATTACCAACGTCACCTTAGCATGCCCCCTTAACTTTGTATAGATTTTACACTCTTAAAAGAGTTTTTCAGCAAAGTTAAATAGTATACTAGAAATGATATATATCCCCATAGTTCTTACCTATCTTTATCAACAACAGCTTTTCTTTCAAGATTATAGATAACGTCTTTATGATCTTTCTGTTGTTTCTCTAGGTCYTCTTCCATTTTAGCAAACTTAGCCATCAAATCTTCTTTCTGGACTCGAAATTCCTCTAATGATGCTAATTTTCCTCCTAAAACCATATTTTCAGATGTTAACTGATCTTTAATTTCCTGCATTTCTGTTCTTAGAGTAGCTAATTGTACTTCAAACTGGTCTTTCTCCGCATCTTTTGCTTGTTGAAGACCAATAAGTCTGTCTTGAAGATCTGCAATTTCGTCAGCTCGCTGTTCTAATTGTTTCTTTAAAAATGAGACAATTTCCTTCTTATCTGTCGTTTGTTGTTCGTACTGAGACTTGTAGTCATCATTTTTGAGTTCTAGTTCATCGCATTTCTTTTGATATCGAGCTAGAMGAGCCTCTAAATCTCGGATTTGAATCAAGAAATATTCCTTGGAAAGTTCGGTGAGAATTTCTGTAGATGGAGCAGAAGCTGCCGACTTTCTACCACTCTTTTTTCCACTCTTTTTCTTCTTACCACTCTTCTTTCCTTTCTTTTTGGGTGGCATGACTTCTTTTCAAAGTTAAAATTGAGTTTTTAAGCAACTAAAATGTGTTGTTTTGTGTTCCCAACATGGCCGATGATTATACTGTTACCATAGTGACTTATGTCAAACAAGACTAGAGTCTAGTCTCTTTTATCGCAAATGCACAGGCAACCCAATCCTYCATCTACCACATTTCAAAATTTTTATTGATACTCAGATATTCTTTTCAAATTATCACTTGCTTTTAAATTAAATAAAAATTCAGCTTKGGATCTGCTTATGATAGATCAAGAAAGCCAAAATAATATTGTTTATTTAAATTAGTAATTCAGTATTCACTGATTTTAGTGCCATGACTGCTTAATCTTTTTTCCTTCACATCAGCTAAAGAAATACGTCGAATCAAGAACCTGCCTTACGTCAAAGTCACCTGCAATGAAAAGATATTTCRCAAATTAGAAAACACAATTTTGCATAATAGCAGTCCAGACTAAACCTTCACAAGAATGTAAAGCCCGCCCCACAACGATAGGAAAGTGCATAAGGACGCGAGGCGCTTTGATGTGCATTTGGATCACCGTGAACAGCAAAAATTGGTGCGCAAACGCTGGTCAAAGCGCCTTGCGTGGCATTTCCCTTACGCAATTTCCCTTCGTGTGCGTCGGGCTAAAAAGTGTGCATAGGCGTACAAAGCTCACTACAAAAGCAACAGTTTTCGTTGTTCGAGGTACGTTTGAAAGTGTTTTCTACGGGTTTTTTTTAATCAAATTTAAGAGGTCTATCGACCACCAAACGAGAGCGTGTATGTAAATTATATCATCAATGTACCAATTTCTGGAAGTCCATCGAACGAAGCCTGTTTGACTGGCTGATATTCGTCTCTTTTGAGTTTCAATGGTCGAGGAAATCTAGAGAAACAAGAATATAGTTATTTTCCTGTACTGATATTCAGATAAAATAACTAATAACGAAAGACATATTATAATTCTATGACAACAAGTCTCTTATGTTAACCAGGCACAAACAAATAAACAAACAAACACAAACACTTCAAACCGAAACTTACTTTAAACTACCGTAGTTTTCATCAAAGTGCCTCTGCAAGTCCTGAAGGATTGGTTGAGAATGAAGAGCAACAAACTGTTCTCGACAAATCTTCAACAAAGATGAAAATATTGTTGGTCAATCTATGCCCTCTAAKTAATAATGCTCAGATGGCAATCACCAATGATATCCATGATCACTACTTACAATATATAAATCGGATTCGACTCACTAGATATCATGTTTAGCTGATCGCGTAAATTATTTCTCGAGTGCAACCTAGAGTATTGAAACACTAAACCAAACAATTCCTGGTMAAGTACACTACCTTGTTCATGGTATCAATAGTTGCAGCGTGTGTCCAGAAACTGTCATGCACAGAAGTAAAGGTAATCCCCGCCCTCTGGGAGTACAGAGCGCTAAGCATCATGTGAGTCGAGTCTAGGGAATGTACAAAGTTTGGCGGGAAAGCTCCACGCTGCTTCCTGGAATCAGGTGGTGATGACGCCAAGSCTTTGGCTGGTATTTCAATGCCTTGGAGYTTGGTTCTTATWATTTTGACAGCCCGTTTACTATATGGTTGACAAACATATAGCGACAGCGGCGTATACCAATCGACCATATGACCTGTATAGGCTATATGGGTAGCAGCTAATGCCAACCAATCCTATAGAAAAAAAAATTGCCAATGGACATTTATTGGCATTCATATGCAGATATTTGTAACACTGTGTCACTATACTATTACAGAACGTTAGTAGACTAATTRAATACAACAGATACCTGTATAGCTTTGGCTCTAGTGAATAATTGTCCAATACTAGCAAATACTTTATGTACAAGGTAAGCTGATGAATCAAACAGGAGTCGCTCATCAATGTCGAGATCTTTTAGTTGACGTTCAATCTGCAGTCGTCCGCCAACAAACGTAACTCCATACACGATAGTCATGACGGTTTGTTTGATCACTTTACGCTTGACTTTTCCTTCCAGTTGTTGAGCTATTTTATGTCCTGCAAAATAAGGCTTCAGTGATCTCTTATGGAAAATGTTGACCACAGTCCAACAGAATAAAAGCGTTATTATCGCATGTAATGTCATCTAATGAGGTGTTCAAACCTGCATCTGCATCGTGAAGTCGTTCTATCTCCACTAACTTCGCGACCTCTTCATAGACATCCTGTGGTCGGTCAGCAGGGATGAGGTTCACTTGTTTTGCACCGTAACTGTCTCGACCAAGCGCAGCGTAGTGTTGAAGACCATTACATGAACCATCTTGATGMACAGGATGATGGGATACGTACTGGGTGTGGTCTCCACTACGTACAGCATTGGTTATGTCAATACACGTGGCTAGCGTCTGCCATGGTTCGTCYGCTGTCATCCACCACTGTCGACCCTACAATCACAATTGAAAGTTTGATTTATTATTGCTCATTCGTTGGCTTAATGGAATATGAGTTTCTATCGACTATTTGACTCACCGTTRTTGGATTATCAGCAGAGTCCATAATCTCTTCCATCATTTCATTAGCATATTCCTCACGYTCATCTAATGAAGCTTTCTTTTTAGCRCCATGAAGGTTGGTCAAATGGATTTTCAGCCATCGTAGGCCGTGCTGTCCAAGAGGAACTCCTTTTGCGAATTGCAGCATCCCACGGTTCAAATCATCTCCTAACAAAAAACATACAATATTATCYTGAYCCTTCAGCGTCTACCCACAATGCACTGACTTACCCACGTGACAACAGTGAGGTGGAATAGGGTAGACTCGKCCACGAAAATCCATATTTAGAGGCAACCAAAACACGTGATTTCTAAAGTGATTAGCAACTGACAGCTTATATAGCGCTGACATTCGCAGACTGTACTGATCGCGGGCTGCTTTACGGGCTCGACGATGTTCTTGCAGTATTTTCATACGTTCCTCAGGAGAGACACCAGTCCTACAAGGAAACAAAATTAAACTTATTAAAAAACTTATGTRAACCTACTCAAACAATAGTCAAAACCCGAACCGAGTGCCCGCAATAGCAAGAGTCCGCATTAGAGGTAGTTACGTTCTGTGACCATTTCTGTGACCGCAATAGGGAAGTACATGAAGAGTCATCATTTACATACGTACTTATCAAAGAYGTCCATATCTGGCTGTTGAACTGCATCAGGAATTGCCAGGACATCGTTGCCTCCATTATTAAAATAGTGAATTGCCAGGTCAAGAATACGATCATTAGTACGCCATGCGCATGCGCCAAGATAGTTCAAAGCATCAAAAACTGCACAGAGTTTGTTACAACTAATCTTATTTTCCAGTAAGCGATCTTGTCTGYTGTCGTCTTCCTGGTTTGTTCGCATCAGCTGAACTGTTTAAATACAACATATAATAAATTGAATTCTTTCTGTAAATTCTAACCTATGATAAGATTGTATTATTGTACAAACCTGGTTGGAGTAAGAAGGCTCCATCTCGCACATCTCTCCAAGGTCKGGGGGGTACCAGCATTGGCACAGATGTTGTTGCCATGACAATGCTTCCATGATCTGCAAGGTATCCTTTAAATAACTTACAAACAACTTGGTGTGGTTTGATGACACCWATTTTACGKCGTTCTCTGAACTCATATGTATGGTAAAATGCAGCCAATAGCGACTCGGATTTGTTGTTGAAGACGTTTACATTGACTGTTATTGATTGAAGCAGCAAGTCAATTAATGTACATCCACACTAAAACAAGAATAATGTTATTTACATTACTATATTAAATCAATACTTACAAACAATAAAATAGATAGAGGTATTACCATACCAATAGATAGAGGTATTACCATACCAATAGATAGAGGTATTACCATACCAATAGATAGAGGTATTACCATAACAATAGAAATGAGAATCTAACAAAACCGACCAGTAAAATGTTGGTTTGATCTTAATGATAAAAAATGATTTATATTTATACATAATCTATTATTAAACACTTACTAATAGCTTGGTAGCCCAAGGCCAATCTGCAACATCTTGTCTCAAACATGCTTCATAAGGTCGGCCAAGATCCAGTTCATCCCATCTATCACGGGCCATTTTCTTGGATGTAAGTTGGTCGTCCATGACATATGCAAAGTAATCTGAGTAAATATTTTTGATCTGCAAAGATATCATGCAATGATTTGAATCACATAGTAATATAAACAGACAATAGTTACTGATCTAATGAAAAGGACAATGAAATAATGAGAATAAGTRGGGATAATGGGAAGAGAAAAAAGATGGAATTGGAAGAGTATGTGGACAAATAAGAGCTACCTTTTTAAGAACTCCAGCCTTCTCTCTTTGTTTAACAATGTATTTAGCACTAAGTGCTGAACCAACCGCTCCACTAAGACTGTGAAGTGGCACTCCTTCTACTTGACCTTTGATGTAATACATAACTTGATCTAGGGTAAGATCAGCTAGTTCCTCTGCATCAAATGCTTGTAGGAATGGAGCATATCGCTGCCTGAGGGACTTGACTATAGAGACAATAACATTCAAGTTAATGAGCTGTGGTTAATCCAARATATGACATTCATAAAATGATTAACTTACACTTTCCTTGCTTGATTTCATGAAGTTCTTCTTCAATAACTTTAGTTAGTGATTCCTTAGATTTTTTTCTCCATATTTCATACATCCCTTTGAGTTTCTTCATCTCTTCATCCTGCTGATGTACTTCTTCAATGGAATTGATAACTGTAGTGCCACTCAGTTCTCGAGATAGCTGTTCTTCTAACAGGTTTTGTAACTCATGTTCATTTAATATGTGACTTGAATCACTATTAGAATCTACTTTGATATCATCAGTGTCATTCACATTGTTATATAATGTTTTAACAAGGGAAGGATAGTTTGTATTGCCATATTCTGGTGGTATTGAAGCAGTGTATCTAGGATCTAGTAAGTGTAAAGCATGCATAACTCCTTTCGCTTGGTTTTCAGTAAGTAAACACTTGTAAAAAATATGTTCTGGGTCTAATTCACATTTTTCCATTTCATTCACTATTTCTTTCAGTTTTTCAATTTTGTTGAACTTCCCATATGCATATAACAAAGCAGCATAAGTTGACAAGTCAGGTTTTAAGCCATCAGAYTTKAGTAAGTTTAATGTCATCTTGACACTCATTAGATTACCATATTCTGCCCATCCCATCAGCATCTTATTGAATGAATCAATGCCGAGAGATTTACCAATYCTTAAATAACGGTTAAACAACTTCTGTGCTTCATTCACCTAGAAATAAACAATAAAATAACCATTAATATGAACTTATAATTCCTTGTTAGGCCATAACATTGAGTGCAGGTGAAGTTTTATTGGATTCAATTAATTTTTAGTATAACATAATATGCTTCCTATGAATTTTCGTACCTGTCCCAAGCTCAAGTATCCATTCATTTCTGCTATTGTGCTTACTTCATAAAGTTTAGCCCCTATAGTACCATCTCTATACTTCATTCCCACTTGTCCYGATGCAAACTCCTTGTCAGATAAAGGTACACTTTCCTTGATATCCTCAGATTCCAGATATTCTTCCGATGCATGTTCACAATTCATATCTCTTATTATTTGCTCAACATCATTATCAACAATATCGTCATTCTGGCTATCAATTGGTAGCCCTTTGTCATTTATTGCACTACTAAGTGAAATAAGTTTTGATATGTCTTCTTTCTTGGTCACATTTGTGGTTTTCGATTTTGTAGTCTTTTTTGCATCCTTCGCCTTCTTGTCTTTGGTTTTCTCTACTGATCTACCCTTCCCAGTYTTTTGGCTTGCATTTTCTGCTTTCTTTTTAGACTTTTTAGTTGTATGAGTGAATTGTTTCACCAAGTCATTATGAATGACTGATGTCAATCGTCTATTCCTATTAAGGCTTGGATATTCTACAATAAGTTTAAAATGTGAACAAGAAATCACCTCGGAAATTAGCTTTCACGTGGTCTCACACGTGAAAATATTTTATTTTTACAAACAAACAATATTAAATGCCAATGTTTTCACATCACATAATGCACCTACCTGTACAGTGGAAGTAGATACGTCTCCATAATGGGGCATAMGCCAGAGGAAAAGGACTGCGAATATATTTGAAATTTCTCAGGAAAATTGCCATAGTCCGTCCGCCATCTTGAAAATGAATCTGCAATGCTTTGGAGTCAGCGGTAAAGAACGACGCTGGCCAACAAAAACAGTGACAAAAACTCGAGAGTCACGTGGTATGATCGAAGTTTTTATCTCTGTTCTTTATTTTTTGTTATTCAGTTACACATTTTTCTCAAGTTCTTGTTTTATTTACAACAGTATTATACATGCAATCAATGGCGTGCGTAGAGGTTTCAGGAGGGGAAGGTACAGCTTTGTYTTGCGTTTCCAACACTGAGTATTRTTTTTTATTCACAACAACACAGACTATTAAACTTTTGGACTATTTACGAGAATATGTCACCCTAATCACGATTTGGCAAATATAAAGACTCAAAATCCAAAGACTTCAAGGAAGGGGGATTACGGAACCCCTTGAACCAGACCTTGCGCGCACGCCCACGGCAATTATTACAATATCTGTATCATTAGTATATTCAATATCTGTATCATTAGTAACATTAGTATACCATGAACGCTCATCGTAATTTTCTTCGGCGTGTGATCCATTGTAATACTGATAAAACAGCAGTATTGACTGTCTATAATGTACAAGCTCATATAAAATTAGGATAATAGAATACACATATCCAATAGTAACAGTTGAATAATGCGAAGAAAACAAGAAACAGTTTTTGAGAATATTCATCGAGTAAGATTATATTTTCAGTTCGATAAAGACTTGACGCCATTTTATGTCGTATGGAATTCTTTTTCTTTTTTGGTTGTTTGCTGTCGTCGATTGCTAGTGAAGATCTGTCAATTTTACGATGGTATGTTGCCGAACCATTTTCTGAGCTAATATGATGAAAAAAGGGGTCACTACTTTCCACATGAGTAGGTATTAAGGGAAAGTCTTCTTTCTGAAATGAAATGGGAAAGATTCAGAATTAATTACGTTTAGCCTTGCGATGTAAACACAATGAAAAAACAGCCAGTCGAGGACTGCATTCAGTAACTCAGGTCATATATAGATTTAGTGAAACTTCAAGTTAGCTGCCTTACAAGGAACTAGAGCATCACGTGGCGATCAACCAATTACGTTGCATATATAAATACAAATACACACCGGGCGGCGATTCCCAGGGGACAAGGAACCTATTGTGCTGGTTGATCATTCCCGTGGGGGTCTGACGCGGGGCGCCCTGTTCCCTTCCTACAGTAAATATATACGTCCGAAAGATTCGGAAAAGGAATTTATATCTACGACATGGAGTACTTAGAGCTTCTAGCTGTAGTCGAAGACATCTTTCCGTATTCGAAGTGTCTATATGTGCGGGACCCTTGACAGAGTGTCACGAAATACTATATGTCCGCGGGGAGTCCAAATAATTCACCGAAATCGTAGTAGAATGTAAATCCAGTCTAATCAAAGATATTTTACTGTATTTAGGTGTAGATAGTCTTCCTTTTGATGAAATCCAGTTGACAATTTAAAGCTTCTTCGCCGCTCGGCATAGTATACAATCGACGTGGCACTTATGTTTTCACGTCTCTGGACGAACTCCCGGACAGAATGTCACGGAAAACTATATGGTCCGGGAGTCAAAAAGTGGTGTAAAATCAGTACTTTGAGTTTAAACTCTTACACAAAAWGAAATTTATCAATTTTATACGGATTATCATTTATCCTCGATTCTTTCGTCGTSCTGTTTATCTTATCGGTATTCGGCCGCAAAAAAGCAATCATCACCCACCCCACCCCATTAAATAATAAATCTGCTGAAGAATTATTATGCAAACCCTGTATCGTATGCTAAATTCTGAGTTGAGCTCTGATTGGCTCGCTGCCCCCTAAGGATTTTGGTGACGTCATATATTAGCATAGCACTTCGCCGAATAGACTACCCCAATTAGATATTTGAGTCTATAAGTGTCTTCATAGTACGATGGTCTAAGAGGGTAGCTAAAGGTATGCTCTAGTGGGCGGCTACCCCCTCACTCCCTGGCCTTTTGGTTAAGACTAAGTTTTATGTTCACTCGGGATAGCGTGGAAGGGCCGAAATCTCTAACCGTAACGTAAGCCGATTCGCCGCCTCAGCTTCATAGAATGTCTCGGGGGAATCGTCCCATCTTTTTAGTTTTTTATTTTCATTATTTCGTATGTRTGTCCGGGGGGTGCATCTTCTCCTGAAGTGAAAGTTCTGAGTTCGAGCCCTGCTGCTGGAATTTCTCTTTTTTGCCTTGTTTATTGTTTCTTTTTCTCTTATTTCTTTTTCTTTTCTTCTTTCTTTTTTCTTTTCTTCTTTTTCTTTGCTTTTGTTACCTTGTTTGTGCTTCTCAAGAGATTTTTTCTCTTTTCAACTTAAACATAATCAAGGACTCGCAAGGAACGCCTGCTACAAATGGATGGTTACGGTTCGGTCACTCAACACGATGACATTGTGACGAGAGGCCCCATAAGTCCTTTCGTCGCAAAAATGAAAGCATATGCATGCCCTGAGCCTCTCGTGCGCTGATTCGCTCCCTGATTTCAAAGTCTCACAGTGAGTCTGACAATTGGATCAGAGGAGATAAAAGCATACCAGAGCTAGAAGCAATTGATCTACAATTGATTTATGGTATACAAAGCGGCTTTTAGTTAGAAGACACACAGACCGCCCAGTAATTATGCCGCTACTCATCACATTACAATTATGCAACTACAGCGTAACGCGACGAGGGATAAAAGCGTTGTTACTTTGATACGTTTTTGAAGCATTTTTCCATTATCCCCCGTCCTCAAGACAACTAAACGCGACACAATACATATCAGAGCGTGATTCCTACATAAYGTTTACCTTATTCGCTGTATGCTTAGCTTTTCGATGGTGTTTCTGTCGGTTAGCAATAGTCAGGATAATGGCATATTCAACCAGAGTTGCAAAAACGAACAAGAAACACGTGATTAGGTACTTGTCGATGGACTTGACGTAATTTACCTACAGACACAAAACACATGCGTGATCAAACGTTCTTTTGATATATCAGGGCGCACGATACTTCTTTTCAAGATGTCGCGGGTCGGATGCTAGCTTTTCAGGATTGCGCTGCACACTTTCAAGATAAACGCTTTTCTTTTCAAGCAATCCCGGCTAGGATACTTTTCGCGATTCCGCCAAGAGAAATATAGTAATGACTGTATATAATAATAATAATAAGAAGAAGAAATGCTTATATAGCGCACTATACATAGTCTCAGTGCGCTTTACAAATATATATAAATAAATATAACAAATACATATATAGCATGCTGACTGTATATATAGCATGCTGACTGTATGATATAGCATGCTGACTGTATAACATATAGTGAATAGTGAACTAGAGGAGGTCCTTACTCTTGGTATGGCCTGGTTTGACATTGTGAGTATTGTGACTTCGGTCAAAAGTGACGTCACACCTAGCGTGATCCTTGCTGGCGCTTGTTCATAAGGAAGAAAGAAAGAAATCCACGAAATTACAACAATCAGTGCACTTGGACCATAGATGTGTATCAAATAGAAACTATAGGTTCTTTCAAAGGTAAATGTTGCCTTTACACCAGACCAGTTACCTGGAAAAAAAGTAAGTATGATGTAAAAGAACACGCTTGACTCATTCAACACTACTAACTAATGGCAAACTATCGTCGTATGTTGGCATTGCCTCCCTGAGTGGTATAACGATACACGAGCTTATGGCGTACGAACGTATGTTAACGCCCTGGGCCCTGTATGCCGGACGTAATGACTTACTACATGACACACTGCATGATGTACTGGTATGTCACACTGTATGACGTACTGGCATGACGCACTGTATGACGTACTGGCATGACGCCCTGCATGACGTAATGGTATAACACACTGTATGACATATTACATGACGCACTGCATGACGATTATAGCGACTGTGTGACGTACCTATGACTTGTCCTTGACGGTACTATATGACGTAGCTATACTCGTAATATATGACTTACCTATGACGTACTGAGTAAACAGTGTTTCTAGCTGTACATCTATTAGTCGAAATTGTGGTAAAACTTTGGCATCGCCTGGTACGAACTTCATTCCATCGGTGTCCTTAGCTTCCCATTCATAAATAATATGATCAATGCTATAACCATCTGAAAAAAGATACAAGTTTAAATCTAATGGCTTATTTTATTGAATTATACTACTCATTTCCCTCGGGCAGATAAACGAAAAGCTCAGTCATGCACATAGGGACCCCAAGACTGCAGCTGCTGTACAGRAAGATATTGTACGAGATACTTACAGCTTTCCATTAAGACTGAGCATTTCTGAACGTCAAAAGGGTAAAGCCTGAGATCCATGATGCAGGCTGCCTTTAAAGTTATCCTTAAAACCAAAGGGGAAAACAAAGAACAAATAAATCAGTTCAATCTTTGGATAATGATTGACTAGATTAGAAATGAATCCCATTAGTCAAAGAACCTGACAATACGCGTACCTGGTATTATAATGGACGAATCCTAGTGGACCTATTCGTATCATAATGTTTTTTGCTGTAACCTCATGGAAATTTGACTGTTTAGCGTTTTTAAAGTATGTATCAGGCAACCAGACGTTAGACATCACCGTATGAGAAAGAGAAAGAGTCTTGTTTAGACCATGATCAAGTCGTCTATCAATCCAGTCTTGACGAAGAAAGATATCAAGACCAAACGCCTACAATCAAATGAATATTTAAAACTGTTTAAAGCATTCAAAGGATATTTAACCAACTCTAACATTATTAACAATACAGTATCAAACTGCGAAAAAAGTTCTTGGACTATAGAAGAGTAAGTACACCGATGGTGCGCTATCCCATGATTTCCTTAGGTAATCTTAACACTTTGTCAAACATGACCATTAAAGATGATTATCTTACCATATCCTTAACACTGACAGAGTCAATAGACAACACCCAAAACCCCATCTTGATCTTAACTGGAGATCCTATAGGATTGGCAAGGAATGATTGGTGAGTAGCGGTCAGCATAACTGTTATCGATTCTTAAAGAYCACAAATTACCATGAATATTAGGGCGTATCCTTGAATCATAACGAGGCCTCTTGAAGAGTTCATCTAAGGTATCTGATATGGTCAAATTGACAGCTTTTGAACTATTGATAAGAAACAAGAAAATATGTACTCTGAAAATATAGCAATGTTGCAAATCGCACTGAATAGATGATCTCTAGGGGGTTCCTTTCGATGTTTTGAATCAAAAAATGTAAAGTCATAAATTCCAWTTAAGCCGCGGCTGCACGAGCGATTTTTCGCTTTTTCGCAACGCCATTTTCGGGTGCGATAAAAGTTGAACATCGAATTTAAGCTGTTTTTGTACATATACCTCTTTATGGAGATTCAAATAAGTATTTGTGAGGGTTTTGTATCGATACAGCATTGTCGCTCCCGTAGCCACATCGTGCTCTGGTAATTTTGAGAAATTCGCGTTGYCTGTGCAAGCAAAAAATCGCCCGTGTAGCCGCGGCTTTAATTATGCCGYAAATACGCAGCTACGAGATTCACACATATCGACGTCATGACAGTTCCATCTTAGTCTTTTACGGGATAAGAGATCCTCTAGTATGAAAAATACACACTGACAGAGAAAAGAAAAAAGGAAAGAAACAAAATAAATATGAAAGTAAAGGGAATAAGAGACGATGAACGTGAATCAGACTATTACGTATTGTTCTCCTCGCATTTTGGTTTGGATGGGCTGCCTGTAGTAGTCCCTTAGCATTCTTTGTCTGTCTAATTACAAGTACGTGCTCACAGTATACAATTTTTAATTTTAATCTAAGATAACTGACCGCRTGTGCTGATAACTGACATATTCAAGTCGGTTGGGGGAGTTTTTTTTTATTTTCTGCGTTCGTTTCGGCAATTGTTATTTTTCAGTGCATGGTTTATTGATTTGATGTCCATTTTCGTGGTGTAAACCACATTCCACCTTGTTTACGCTTTTTAAAAACATTTTTCTTTTAATCTATAGCAGCACTCCACTTCAAAACTTAATTTTCATTTATTTGTAATTGTAACTAAGCACTAATCTATTCGACAAACACACCGGTTCATGACTGTGTAGGTTAGTGACAGCCAGAGAAAACAATTTGCAAAAGTCTGACAGTAAATAAGGATAACACGCAACAGATGCTGCAGTTGGAATTGACATTACCTGCAATTACAGCTGTTTGAAGAGACTTTGCCGAACAAGAACAACCACAATATGATCACCATCGTTACGAATCTCATCTGAAGGAAACAGTCGAAGTCAACAGCTGTTTCTGGATCTGTTATGCTAAAGACTTCCAAGTATTTATTTCAATTCACAATTTGCATTTCAAATATACCCTCCAATGTATTTTAAGCTGTGAAATGCAGTACCTTTTCACGTGGTATGATTTGTCTCTATGTTAAGTGCACCAAGGAAAGTTTGGCGTAGCAAAATTTATCATTCCAGATAAAAGTATTGTTGAAGTAATTAATTTTAGGTCCCCTTACTGTTTTGTAATGAAATTATTCTCTGCAGCAGTTTGCAGGTGACTTGTTCATTAGTATTGAGATGAGTACAGACTAATCAACTATAAGCAGCACCAAATGACTAAACTAAAACTAAATGAATGAGCTTAAAAATCCATAAACCTTACATAAATCGTAAATATTAAAAAATGGAATCCAGATGAACAATGACATCAATTTTACTGAAATAAACGACTTATGTCGACCATCAACCTTAAAATACATCCACTGATATTTTCAACAATTATTTCAGCTGTCATTATCAATGAGGGAATCTAAGTGAAAACTTTTTTCTTTTAGTTAAAAGTTCCTTTGTTCATTTAACACATGATCAAATCAAGAACAGTGATAATAATGATAAAGCATTTGGTTATGTCACCGATGGTGCTTTGTAGTATTAGCAATTCATAGTGAGCACAGACGAGGAGTGGATTAACTAAAATAATGGAAAACGTTGAACAAATGCATACAAAGTTGACGATAAGACTTGTCTGGTTGACATATTAAGTAAAAACGTTTACCCATTGACTAGTAATGTTTGGATAGAGTTCTGTTATTTCACTATTAACTAACGTTTGTCGGCAGGTCTTGTTTATGTACATTATGAAAATGTTTGGTAAAGGTAATTTTTATAACAACTAAGAGACGAGCAGAAAATATTCAGAGTTCGTATGTCGTGACTAACAGTATAATRACAAAAAGATCAGAAAAATAAATTCAGGAAACGTACACTAAGAAAAACGGATTATAAAAGGAAAACGTTGCGAATTCAGTTTGGTTTAATTACTGAGAAGGCCATWAAATGTTTTATTCATAACATCGAMATTTTTAATATTACAACTGAGTGACGAATGTTTCGCAAGAATTTTTTTTCTAATGCAATTTAAACAAATACAGGCTTAAGTCGGATAGAGCCTGGGGCTGAATAAAGCGCTCTCTCCAAAAAGAATGTRTTGATATCTATAAAAAAAGCAAGCAAGCGCAATAAATTACACAGCTTTTTTCCGATTACATAAACGTTTTCAATTCATCCTAGATTCATAAATTTGACATTCGGGCGCAAGATACACTGCATTTTTTTCCGATTACATAAACGTTTTCAGTTTAATCCTAGATTCATGAATTTGACATTCGGGCAGGTTTTTCTTAAATAGAAATAATCTCGAAATGATAAACACTTTGTTGTGATTTATGGCTACGTACACTTTTTGTCGACAATGAAATGGTTTGATAATGACTGACCCAATCCGTGCGCTCGCTCAGTATAAGGTGAATGGTTAACCATTACTCTAAAACCGTCTAACCCTAAAATAATGTCTCACTTTTATATTGAACAAAAGCTGTCGGCTAAACGTCGGGATATTAACGTTGAATGCGTAGTATGCATTGTACCCAGAGTTTTTTGTCGACGTTCAGGTTCAAGTGAAAATTTCAACGCACGTTACATTTTTGTAAATAGTCCCGGCGCGACGAACTCCACATGTGCCCAAGTGGGCGGTAGATATAAATGTTAATATATTCTTATAAATGTTGATTTGCAATCATGTGCAATAAAGAAAGTTGAATGTATTCTACAGTGAAAACATTTATGAATTGATAATGTTGTTTAGATCAACCGCCTAAAGTAACTCTTGCTTCCTTTTGTCACAAAATTATTGCGGAAACTTTCAGAATGGTTGCGTGTTAACTTCCTTAAAAAAATACTATTCCAGTYATTTTATTTAATTCAGATTGATAGTATCCTAGTGTCTTGGAGGACTGTAACCATTAGCTTTCTAGAGGAGGAAACACTCTSTAATTGCTCTATCTATAACGAGATGGTGAGGGCATGGATGTCGGTTCAAAGCAATGGCAACAGGACAAGCTTAGTGATGACTATCAATTTTTATCTAAATATCCATTGGTTTRAAGTGATTAAGGAGTATTAGAAAATATGTCTCTTTTCTCGACACTAATAACTGCAAATGGGCTTCATTTACCAAATAACAATGCAATCTTATACGGGTTAAAATGAAAGCACTTGACGTGTTTTAATGGCTTTTAGGATTCTATTCAGCAGACAGGTACTTTCTGTATTCACACTTCTGTTATCATTATTTACTKGTCTGACTACCCCTTTATCGCGATATTATCTTAAAATCTTCTTGTTTATGCCACTGGTAATTCATGACAATTTCGTCGAGCTTAAAAGTGTCGACTACTCGTTTTGCAGCTGCCAAGCAACATTGATTTCTAATTATCACTGAAGATATTGGCTCTGTTGTCAAGCCTCACAAAGTAGTCAATTCAAGTCATGATAATGATTTAAAAGTCAATATCCTATACATAAATCTATGGTTAGACCTGATCACTGTTCTCTTAGAGAATCTTTTCTTTTTCTCTGCGAGATAATAATTAGTTCCTATTTTTGTCCCCCAAAAAATTCAATTTCACAAGACAGCGCAACACGACCTACCTTGTAGTYAAAAAACAGCACTGAATACYATAAGACATTAGAAACGTTAWAAGAAAWGTTGACTTATTCCCGAGCTGTGTAAATTGTGACTGTTGTARCGACCTGTTTTCGTCCAATTGCAGAATAATTTAATGCTCATGAATCTTTAAAGAGRAATGAGTGAAAAATCTAAAGGTTTTTTACCACTTACACAAAGATTACTTGAAAGTTTATTAATCAAAAATATTATTAAGTGACAGAAATCTGATGAGAACCGACAAGATGTGAAACAAAGCTTTCAGTTCTGTATTGGTAT